GGCCACGAGGACCGTATTGCAGGGGGTCGATCGGTGTAACGGAACTCGGTTTGCCAGGAGGTGGTCGCTCGCTCGCGCGCCCAGCGCCGGATCCACGTTAAGGTGGGTAGGACACTATCGGGTAGGGACGTGCCTTCCTTGGCTAGCCGGTCCGCCACCTCGTTACCCAGTACACCCGTATGCCCTGGAACCCATAGCAGCGAAAGGTTCAAAAGTGGGTATTGCTCCATGAGAGGAGCGAGAAGTGCCCGAAAGCGAAGGGAGAAGGGCTGGCCACTGTGTGGGCGCAGCGACAGGACATTGGACAGGGCAGCGCGGTTGTCTGCGCAGAGGTAAATGTGGGTAATCATGGGGTAGGTCACCAGAAAACTGGCAAAGCGGCTGGCGACCGCTGCCATTGCGAAGAGTTCGGCGTCATACACCTCAGCCTGGTGGCCCATGCCCCAAGCCCGCTCGTACTTTACCGCACCCTGGTGAATGATACACGCACCTGCACCTGCTCGTCGGTTCCGTGGGGTGGGGTCGGGCTGGGCGATTTGGGAGCCGTCTGTGAAGACCCATAGGGCGTCGGGTAGAGGGATGGAAGAGTGTAAAAGAGGGAAGAAAAAGGAACGTAAGTACTCCTTGGAGCCGTCTTTGGTAGGCGGAGGGACACAGACGTGAACCCTCTCACCCCATGGATGCGCAGGGTCCCAGGGCAGCTGCAACCAGGGGAGAAGGCGCGCCGCTCTCATGAGCAGGGTTTGTTCGAGCACATCCACCGCGCTGGTGCCGTGGTGGACAGGGATGGCGGGGTTGAGGAGGGAGAAGTTGGGCGGGTGGGCTGTACGGTTGGCCGCCAGGCAGTGGGTCACCGGATGGGACGCGGAGAGGGTGAGGAGGCAAGCTGCGGCAAGGCCGTTGAGCTTGTCGAGCTGGTGTCGCATCGGCAGGACGCTGGAGATGAGGTTGAGGACGTGGTGGGGGGTAGACCGCCATGCTCCCATGAACCACCGCAGTGCGTTGTTTTGTACCTGTTGCAAAGGTTGAAAGAGTGAGCGTGGGCCCCGCGGGTTATACCACACGGGGCTACCAAAGGTGAGTACGGGAAGGATGGTGGTAAGGTATAGCAAGCGAGCTTGCGCGACCGTCATGCCTCGCTGTGTGTTGGTGAGCATGCGGAAAGCGGCGACACGGGACGAAGCCCTGGCCGCCATGACGCGAATGTGGTGGGTGAAGGTTAGGTGTCGGTCGTACCAGATACCGAGCCATCGCAGATATGAGGCAGGCTGTATGGTGATATCCCGCCCATCCCACTGAATCCGCAGGGGAGGGTTGACGTCAAGGGAGCGTCTCGGGGAGGTAAAGTGGATAAGCTCTGTTTTCGCCATGCCAATGGTCAGCCCAAGCTGGTGAAGCGTGGCGCCCACACTCGGCAGAGTGCGTTGGATGATGGACATGTTCTCGTTCAGCGAGGGAGAAACAATAAGGAGGGAAAAATCGTCGACGTAGCCCGCCGTAGACTGCTGGGGATGCGCGAATGGATCAAGGTTCGCATACAGCGGGGAAGAGTATATTGTAGAGAGGACTGGCGACAGAGGCGATCCCTGTGGGATGCCGAGTGCAGCAACATGGTATGATGGACCCAGCTCTGAATTGAGTTTGGGCCGCACAGTGCACGAAGAAAGGAAGGACATGGTCCAAAGGACCTCATTTGTGGAAAAGCCCAAAGAAAGGAGAGCAGAGTGAAGGACGTCATGGCGAATGTTATTGTAATAGCCCTCGACGTCCATGCACAGTAAGGTAGCAGAGAAACCGTTTTCCCAGGCGGTGCGTACACGGTGCATCAGAGTGACTCCGGCATCCACGACGGAATGCTGGCCCCGCCCACCAAACTGTGAGCCGGACACAAGATTGTGAGCACCGATCTGGAAGTTGAAACGAGCAGCAACCACTTTCTTGAGGACCTTGCTCAAGGTTTCCAGGAGAGCAATTGGTCAGTGGGACTTGGGTGCAGTGTAATCCGCCTTGCCCGGCTTGGGCAAGTACACAACCGCTGCAGCCCGAAGTGGGGTGGGGAGGTAACCCAGGCGCAAAGAAGAGGAAAGAAAAAGAAAAAGAGCATGACGCGCACCAGACCGCCAGACCCATTTAAGGAGCCGCCACGACACTCCGGAGATGCCAGGTGCTGAATAGTTAGACGCAGCCTCGATGGCGGCAGTTACTTCAGTGATAAGGAGGGGACGGTCTGGGCGCGCTGCCGGAGGCGCAGAGGTAAAGAGAGGAGGCAGATCAGGCAAGGGCGGAGACGCCGGAAAATAGAAATGTGTGAGTAGACGACCCGCGTCGGCAGGGAGAGAGCCAGTCTCCCCGTCCGCACGGATGACGGGCAGCGGGGGCGCCCGCACTCCTTTGGTCCAGGAGGCGAGCCGCCAGGGGTCGGTGTGCTGGAGTCGCGTGACCGCCTCCTGAGTCCAATCCTTCCGAGCTTGTCGGATGGTGGCCGAGAGGGTGGCTTTGGCTGCTCGCCTCTCCTCATGAGTAGGCGCCGCCTGGACATTTGCGCGGGCAGTGTCACACGCATCGTTCCACCAGAGCTGGGAGGCCCGGTGAGCATGTGTGCATCGGGGGAACACTTCGTGGCAGGCCACGGACATTGCTCGCAGCAGAGCCTGAGCGCCCGCTTCGAGGTCGTCATTGGTGGTATAGGTGGCCGGCGGTGGGGACAGCACCAGCTCGCGGGCAAGGCATGTGTTCCAGTCATCTCGTTTGGACACATCGACTCGAAAGCCAAGGTCAACGTCTACGGGGTGAGCAATGTGAGATAGAGTAGAGGTTAGTAGAGCGTGATCCAATTCAAAGGATGTGGGAGTAGCAGCGACTCCGTGAACGTGACATTGCGCACTGGAGGTCGCGCAGACCAGATCGATGATGGTGCCCGAGAGCAGGTCGCCATTCACCATGTGAGTGGGTTGATCGAGGTCATTAAGAATTTCGAGCGACTCGCGCTCTAGCCACCCAGCGAAAGCGGTGGAGGCAGTGGAAGCAGAGCGGGAGGCCCGCCCGGTCCATGACCATAGGGGGTGGTGGAGATTAAAATCTCCAGTGACAAGGAGGTTCGCTCGCGGCGGGAAAGGGATATCATAGAGAGTGGGCAAAATGCGGTGTTGGGCTCGCGAGCCTTCGTTATAGCAGTTGACCATGAAGAAGTCGTGGGTGGGATCAGAGCGTGAGACAAAATGAAGGACGACCACATCCGGGTCCGACACCAGGTCGGTACACATGGAGATGTGATAAGTGTTTAAGAGCATGCGCCGGACCAGGATGCTGGCCCGAGGTCGCGGCAGCGCAGAGGTGGAGGGAAAATGATAGGTGTCCAGGCCGTAGGGCCGGACATTGACGTGACCAAAAACAGTAGCGCCTGACTCAGAGCCATGGGGGGTATCGATGCCGATTTGCCCCCACCACGGCTCTTGAAGGAAATAGATATCGTAGGAAGTGGAAGAAACGAAACCGTGGACGCGCGGGTTAGACCGGGCCACGTTCAAATGCGCGGTTGTGATATTCATGATGAGGGGTTGGTGCGCGAGATAGGGATGCGGTAATCTTTTCGCGCAGGGCAGGTGGTGTCGGCGGCATGGTGACCATTGGTGCCACAGACCACACAGAAATAGTGAGCAGACTCACAAGGCTGGTCAGCCGGGCGAGCCTCATGATTGCATACAAGGCAGGCTTGCCGATGCATATCGGATGTGTGATTAGTCTTTCCGCAGAAGCGGCATACTGGTGCCCGCTTCTTGCAGTGACTTTCGAGATGTGTGAGGCGCCAGCAACGAGTGCACTGACGGAACACGGGACGATCTTTCGACTTCTTAACCATCAGGCGAGAACCGTAAAACCATACAAAACCAGCGGCGTCACCGCGGTTGTCACGACCCAGGAGGTTGCGCGCGCAGAAGTCGCGGTGCACATCCTCAATAGAAATGATAAGGGAGGATTTCCCGAGCTGCTCGCGGTGCTCAGGGGGAACGACAAATCCGGGAAGACCATTGAAATGAACGGAGGAAAACATGGAGTTGCGGCGGAGCTCCGCCAGAATCTCCTCCTCGATGAGCATGTCTCCCGAGTCAGGGTGATGGAGCGGGCAGCTCGGAAGGAAAAGTTTAGTTACTGGGGCGAGAGGGCGGAAGTCTTGTGGGACAGATGCCTGCTCTCGAGGGCCCGGTGCAGGGGACGGTGCACGTGGGACCACGCCCAGCAGATGATGGATGGGCCGGAGACACTCCTTGATGAGCGCATCCGGGGAATCATGCGAGAACGCCGCTTGGACCTTGGTCGGTCCAGCGAAGCGAAGACCGAGAAAGCGTACCTTTGCCCACGCGGGGGTCTCGCGCAGGCGCATATGGACCTTAGCATACCATTGGGGCATGGTACCCCCTGCCTCGATGGCGGCATGCTGCTCGGGTGTAACGAGAAGGACGTAGCACTTCTCGCGGTTCTTGGCGGCCACCTGTGCCACGGTGGGGGCATTCGGGGCCTGCGTCTCAGGCTGCGCCGAAGGCTGCGCTGCAGGGGCAGCAGCACTGGAGTTGGCGGTGGGGGCACGTTGACGACCAGTACGGACCGGCGGTTGGGGTCGCGGTCCCTCGGGGGCCTGAGGAGATTGTGGCAGCGGGCGCCCGTGCACTAGCTGGGCCTCGATAGCCGACAGTCGCGTGTTGATGGCTGACGTGGCCATGCGAACTCCGTCCTCGACAGCCTTAGTCAGGGCGGCCTGCACGTCGATGCCGACAGGGAGAGTGCCTTCTGTGCGCTGGCGGGTACGCGGAACTTCGTCCATGAGGGTGTCGTCGTTGAGAATGACGGCTGCGCTGGCGAGCTGCTGATGGAAGCAAGCCTGGTAGAGGCGCAGGATTCGGGTACCAGTCTCGGTGTCGAGGATGAGGGAGTCGTTCATGAGAGCATTGTGGAAGTCGCGAAGGCAGGTAGTGAGCGCGACAGCGCAGTTCTCGAACTCGTCAGGGTATGTTGCGGCCTCGTAGGGGCCTTCGATAACGTGCTGTACGCCGATAGCAAGGTTGTTCAAATTATTGCGCAGAGACCTAATGGTGTCGCGCATATGATTGTGGACCGGCGGGTGCGGGGGCGTCGGCCCTGGGGCCGACGACGTCGCGCTCGCTGGCGGTGGAGACCCTCCCAGAGGAGTTCGCTCGACACCTATGCCCTCCATGGTCGATTCGCTGGCAGTCGCCTGTTGGGCGCTAATAGCGGACATGGTGGTACGGGAAAAAGAAGGATTGACTGCGACTAGTTCACAGCATGGAGCTGCTTAATGCAGTCACAATCCAGCAATCAGGCATCACTCTGACCCCAGAGCATTTGGCTAAACAATTTGGCAATTGGGCATGCAGCGCAATGCTGGACCTGTATGTTGGATATGATGAAAGACTCATAGCTGAAATGTTGCATAATCTTACAACATTCCAAACACCATTCGGAGCATTGTGCTTAGTCACCCTGCTGATGGGGTGAACTAACTCAGTCCCTATTTTTCACGATAATGTAACCTACATTCTGCAAGTGAAGATACTGGCATACATGGTGCCATACATCGATGATGTTCCAGTTAAGGGTCTGGTGACTAGGTATGAAAAGCTGAATGGGTCCTTTGAAATGATCACAGGCAATAGCAGCATTCAGTGCTTCATCTGGAAACATTTCTAGAACCTCAACTAAGTTATGCAGTGCATGGAGTATGCAGATGCGATGTTCTTGGATATGAAGTTAATGCTTTGTGTGGAAGAAATCACACTAGTTAGACATCGGTGCACCCCTGAAGGACGTCTGCCAGACAAATCTTGCATATGGACAGTTCAAAACTGGGGTCCACGCAAAGATCTCTCAGAAGTTCGAGCCTTTCTAGGCACAATTGGAGTAGCAAGAATATTCATCAAGGACTTTGCAAAATAAGCCCGCTCACTAGTACAACTCACAAGAAAAGGAGTTTTGTTTGAGTTTGGAGAACCTCAGCTCAAGGCAATGGAGGACTTGAAGCAAGCTCTGCTAGAGTCATCTGCACTGCACACAATCAACTACGACTCATCGGCACTGGTCATTCTAGCAGTGGACACCTCTCCAATCATGGTTGGATATCAGCTAGGCCAAGGTGCAAACAACAGATCAAAGAAGCGATTCTTCAATCACTTTGGATCAATCACACTCAATAACCATGAGAAGAGATTTTTGCAGCCAAAGTTAGAGTTGTATGGATTATACCATGCACTTCAAGCACTCAAGGTTTATTTGATTGGCGTCCGAAATCTCATCATCGAGGTGAATGTGAAATACATCAAGAGAATGTTGCAGAAACCTGATATTGCCCTCAGCACAAGCATTAATCATTGGGTCATTGCCATCCTGATGTACCAATTCAAGCTAGTTCATATACCAGAAGTAATGCATGGACCAGATAGATTATTGCGTTGACCTAGACAGCTGGAGGATTCACTGCCAGAACCAATCGAGGATGTGAAATTTGATGACTGAGTGGATCAGATGCACAGATTCATTCATCATATACTTCCCCTATTGCAACACACAAACCCTATGCCAACACCTGAGGATGGTCAATTTTTCAGAACAGGGGAGGATCCAGGCATACAAGCAATCTTTGCACTACCAGCATAAGAAGACAACAGAATGGAGCCATCAGCAGAGCAAAGTTCAATCCTTTATACTAACATTTTATGATCAGCGAGAGTCAGAAGGAATGATAAATTGATCTCTCAAATCACTGACTGGCTAGAGACACTGCAGAAGCTAGAGAATCTGACAAAAAAAAGAGTACAATTATATGCTCAAATATGCAGTTCACTTCTTCAAATGGGATGGTCAATTATGGTGAAAGGATGCTCAGAGATCACACAAGCTAGTGGTCCTACCCAAAAACTGTTTGAGCATTCTAGCCAGAGCACACGATGAACTGGATCATCGAGGCATATTTCTGACTCAAACGACCATGCGCAAATGATTTTGGTGGCCAGATGTTGGCGCAGACATTGTGTGATTCATTAGAATCTGTGAATTATGCCAAAAATGACAGATTCATCAAATCCTGATCCCACCGACTGTTGCAATACCAGCTCCGATCTTTGCAAATATATATATCGACACGATGCACATGCCGTCCTCAAACAAATTCAAATATATTGTGCAAGGGTGTTGCTCACTTACTCACTACCCCAAGTTCTGAATGCTCTGAGTGAAGACTGCAAAGACCCTTGGCAATTGGATTTTTGAAGATGTACTCTGTTGCTGGGGTGCGCTATCAGAAATTGTAATGGACAACAGAGCTCCATTCGTAAAAGCTGTAGCCTATCTGGAGAAGAAGTACCATGTCAAGCACATCTGGATTAGTGGCTACAACTCACATGCAAACAGAATAGTTGAACATCCACACTTCGACATACAGCAGAGCCTATTCAAGGCCACTGATGGAGAGGAATGCAGATGGAGCCAGATTGCCCACTCAGTATTTTAGTCAGAAAGAGTAACCATTTGATGATGAATGGGATGCTAGTCACTGGCACCTATCCGGTTTTACTGCTTGATATTGTTGAAGTGACCTACCTGATTCCAGCACCAGTCAGAATGGTAACAACCACAGATCTGATCGCAAGTTGAGTGGAAGCACTGCAGAAACGTCGAGAACAAGTTGTGCATATTTATAATGCTGTCTATGAGGCTAGAAGAGCAGCTTTGAGATGATTTGAAAGAGTACATGGGTGAACTATCAAAGACTTTGACTTCAAGAAAGAAGACCTGATACTAGTGCAACATACTCAAATCAAAAAGGTGCTTAATCGAAAGATGCAACCACACTACATAGAACCATATGTAGTGCTGTTTTGCAATCAGGGAGGAGCATATGTGCTCTCTGAGCTAGATGGAGTGATCATGGACAGACCAGTCATGGCATTCTGAGTGATCCCTTTCATGGCAAGGAAGAAAATCACCATATCTGAAGAAATGCTGAATGCATCAGAATTCTGACTCATAGAAATGCGCCAAGCAGAAGACAAAGGGAAAGCAGATCCTGAGATGAACAGCAGTGGAGAAGAATCAAAGAATGAAGAAGAAAACTAGCAGGAAGAAGATACTGACGATGACAAAGAGTAGACCTCAAAAGAGAATCAACAACACGACATATACCATTTTCAAGACATTTTCCTCCATTAACTCAAGACAAGTTAGCTTGACTCTCAACTACAAGTCTAGTATAATATTTCATTTCCTTACTCAAGCCATACCAATGGTTTCAAGCAAGCAGTATAGAATTTGCAATGAGAAATGACGAGTACATTGCTCCATGCATGCGAAGGGGAAGAACACTAGATAAAGCACACAGAAAAACATGCCATGGCTAAGCCCTAGAGTGTCACTGCACCAGCCTGCCCACAAGGACTCTCAAACCCAGTTACTTTTGCCCAAAAAAGTTGCAGTTATCCTCGGCCATCTTCTGCGAGCTTTGAAGCAGCAGGTCAAACTGTGACATCATTGCGGAGAGCTGCATTTGCAGCTCATTGTGCTCAGCAGTAATGGTGGCCAGGAACACATCAGCTGCAGCCAGTTTTGATGAGGACATGGCAGCAGAGTTTTTAACGTATTTCTTGCCCTTTGATGACTTCATCTTGGTCGAAGTGGTGGCCTCAGGCTCTTTGAGTGGCACTAGAAAGTGCTCAATTTTGGGCTCCGAGTCTTCAATGTGAGCATGCTTAAAGGAGCGAGTGGTGATGAGATCTATTGAGGAAACATTGATTAGCACGTGAACAAAGGATGGAGAGCTGTATACCAAAGCGATATGGCAGAATCTTTAATGTATGACTGGTCGAGGCTGGCTTCATCTTGACCAGCTTTTTAAGCTCCTTCTGGAGCTTAGCGATGACAGCTGCTTTCTTCTCAGCTAAGATGATAGGGGCCGACCCTTGAAAGAAATTGTTAGTAAAAAGGTGATGGAAAGAAGGAAAGATAAGAGATGTACAGAGATGAGGGAGTGCAGAGAGACATTCCTCATATTTGCCAACAGGGATGTCCTGGGGAGACCAAGCCACCTAGCAAGGGAAGTGCCCTTATGGGTGGCCTTGCATTGTTTTCTATCATAAGTGAGCTGCAGAAAAGACACTTTGAGGGACACATCCTTATCAATGGCCAGAGGAAGGGGCCAGTGATATTGGTGGTAGATTGCGTCAATTCTGACTTAGCCAGAATTATTGTTCAGATCAAAGGCCATTGTGCATGATCACCAAATGCAAGTCTTGTGATTACAATGGCACTTCCATCACATAGGCTTGAACTCACCAAGAATACAAGTAGGGGTCACCTTTTCGGACTCTAGGCAGTGGCAACACTATGATACGACACCGATCAGTAAAGTATGGAAAAAAAAAAGGCAAGGCTTATCAGACAAGTGATGGTGGGCTTGCACCATGCAGGCATGTACTCCAGAGATAGAGAATGATCACGGAAAATTCAAACTGGTAAATACATACATGAATCAAGAACAGCCTTGAGAGACTTGGACTAGTAACCTCTTCCTTTCTTGGAGGCTGCCTCGGCAGGTGGTGTAGAAGAAGAGTCATCTGTGGAGGCCTTCTCATCATCAGCCAACTCATCTTGGTCAGAGCTGCAGACAGATATGAGTTCTTCGAGCTCTCCTTCAGTGTCGACGTTCATGGCTGGGGTGCCAGGTATGCTAGGTAAAAATAAGAGATTGTCTTGGCTAGGCCTGAACTGTGAGGAGGATGATGTTAGCATCTCTGAAGATGGGGCTTCAACATTTATAGGAGCAGCAGTGAATTAAACAGGATCAGATGAAAGAAAGTCATGAGAAAAAACGATTGGAGAAGGAGAAGATGAAGTCTCAGAAATTATAACAATATCACCCTCCGCGGGTGTATAAGCCAATGTGAAGATAGTGGAGTGCTCAGTTCCTACTCAAAGCTTTAGAAACAACAGACAAGAACAGTCTGCAAGATGCACCTTGGCCTCGAAGAGAGTAGCAGTGATCTCTGGGGACAGCAGCTCCTCACATCATGAAAGCCAGGAAGGACGTGCGAGGGGGTCCAGCAGGGCATGGGTCTTCTCATAAAAGTTCTTCGTGTGAAGCGGGCAGCCTCCTCAAAAATGTCATCCAGGATGTGCTAAAGACCAAGGTTTTAGTAACAACTGTAGGGCAAGGTGCATGCAGCAGGACTCACTAAGAAAGATCTCACTGCAGCCTCTATCGCACAGTCATCACCCAGAGCTCAGGCCACTTGAAGGTCCTCCCATCCCTCATACAGCACAAGACATGTGGCAGTAACCTGCCAAGAGGTCTTGGTTAGAGACTGCGAGAAGGCAAGAAGAGTTAGTCTGGCTATGGTCAATAGAGAACAGTGTGAGCAAAATGTACTGGCAGCATGCTGACAGATTGTGACAGCATTCGTGATAGAGGAGGTGCCATGAGCACAGGCACATCTATGAGCAGAGAGGAGGAATGAGGTAGAGGAGGAGGTGAGTCATTAGGCACCATGGCAGCAGTAAAGGGAGATGAAAATTGACGCATCAAGTGGATCAATAGACGTGCCTTAAAAATTGTAGGCAAAAACAAATGTTGACCATGTGGTGCAAATGTCAGACTTTGTGAAAGTCTGACTGATGCAGCACCATAGGGCAGGATGCCCTATTTGAAGATGTTGCGAGCGGAGCTAAGACACATGAAAAGCACACAAATAAGTCAGATTTTCATTTTGCATGGAAAGACAATATATGTGTTACAAAGACAGGATCAACCACTCAGGCTAGCATACAGCAACAGAGGAAGGAATAGAGGACATGCTATATAGGTCTAGGCAGCCAAAAACTCGCTCAGCTCATTAAAATATCCTTCTACCGACTCCAGCTGAAGTCCCAGCTGATTGATCTGGATAATCAGAGCAATGTGCTCATGCTCGAAGACCTCATTAAGGAAGACCTGATCCAACTTGACATTCTGAATATGACAGAAAATGCGCTCTGTTTCATTGTGTGCATTCTCTGAAACTAACAAACAGAAGCCCTATCAAGTAATAAAACATGCGCATAATGAGTAGGCTTACATTCAGGAGTGGGCTCAAGAAAAGAACACGTATTGTGACCTAGCTGACAATGGATGCAAGCACGTAAAATCATAGCATTTTGAGAAGCGGGCAGAATGAGGCGCTCATTCACGGAGATGCAGCGAGAGCACTAGGAGCAACAAATCAGTAAAAGTGTATGCCCAATCGAAACAAGACCAGCCTACCATATCAGCAGGCCAAGGCTTGCCGAAATTGATGAGTGCCTGCTTAAGCACCCCAAAAGTGTTGCGGACAATGTCAAGATATTTTCGCAGGATACCGGAAGTAATTGCCTTCGGCTGCATGGCAGGAGCTTTGCCGGATGACATAGTAGGAACGGAAGGCTCAGGAGCCCCAATCAAAGATCCTGAAATGGAGGACGCACAAGAAATGGAGGCTGCATAAATAGTAGCAAGTGTCATGCTGAACTTACGCTTTGCAAGCTTAAAAGAGAAAGCAAAAATGCTCGATGCATAAGCTGGCTTGGCAGCAGCAGCAACAGCAGCAGCAGTTGTGTGGTCTTGATCAAAACACATTCACCAGCTGTGGTTCCCACAATTGTAATACAATCCTGCACAGTACTGCTAGAAAAATTGTGTATATCCCCTCCACACACTGTACAATTGTACTATATGAGCAGACACTTGTTATAAAGATGTACAACAATGCATCTAGCTATTGTAATTGCTGTAAAATGTTCCTGCTAGCATTGTAATTCAGTTGTAGCCCTTGTTAAACACTTCTGAAGCTGTTGTAATTGTAATATCTCATTGGTCTTTGTAAAATGTTTCTGCTAGCATTGTATTTGAGCTGTAATTTCTGTAAAACACTTCTGAAGCTGTTGTAATATCTCATTGATCTTAGTACTAACCTCCAGACTTAGACTAGCATCGTACTAGCATAGTACTGGTAATTAGATCTAGGTACTAGCTTAGTACTAGCATTCAAATCTTAGTATTACACTTCTGACCATAGTAGTAGTATGGTGCTAATATATTAACCTGAGTATTAACCTCCATCTCTTAGTACTAACTTAGTACATGAAAACAAAAGTGTGACATAGTCACAACATTTTCATTATCTTTGATCAAAAACACTGGGTGAAGCAATCAATAGTTTGAGGTGAAAGATGATAAAAATATTGAAGAAAAAGTTCAAATTTTTTAAGCATCTTCACCATCAATTTGTAATAAAAGTATTTAAAATATTTTTAACATCTTTTATTGTGAACGATGATGAAAAGATTGAAAGGAGATTGGATGAAATATTAATAATCATTTCTTCAATCATTTGACAATCTTTCATATAAAACTATGATGAAAAGTTTTAAATTTTTTTCACTCTTATTTGATCAAAGATGATGAAAATATTGTGACTATGTCACACCCTTGTTTTTATATACTAAGCCAGTACTAAGATATGGAGGTTTAAGGTCTGAAGGTTAGTACTATGCTAGCATTAAGCTAGTACTAAAGTTCAAATGTTAGTACTAAGGTCTGAATGCTAATATTATGCTAGTACTAAGCTAGTACTAAGCTAGTACTAAGGTTCAAATGTGAGTACTAAGGTCTAAAGGTTAGCACTAAAATTTAAACATTAGTACTATGCTAATACTAAGGCTTCAAGCAGTAGTACTATGCTAGTACTAAGGTTCAAATGCTAGTACTATGCTAGTACCAAGCTAGTACTACAGTCTGAAGGTTAGTACTACTAGCATATGCTAGTGCTATGCTAGTGCTAAGATGTAGAAATCAATACTATGCTAATACTAAGGCTTCAAGAGATAGTACTAACATTTGGATCTAAGTATTAACCCTTATATTCTAATATTAGCTTAGTGTAGAATGATAATGATGTGACATGGTCACAATATGTGCATTGTCTTTCATAAGAAAAGAATAAAAAAAGATTTTAAAACTTTTTATCATAACTTTATCTAAAAGATTCTAAAATGATTGAAAAAATGATTGCTAATATGTTATCCAATCTTTTTCCAATCTTTTCATCATCTTTAACAAGAAAAGATGTTAATGATATTTTGAGTTCTTTTATCACAAGTTGACAGTAAAGATGCTGAAAAGATTTGAACTTTTTCTTCAATATCTTTACCATCTTTCACCTCAAATTATTGATTGTTTCACTCAGTGTCTGGTAATAAAAGTTCAGAGCACTCTGAGTGCAGTTTAATGGTGGATGATTTGAGTGATTGGTGCAATAATGGAGTAAGAGTACTGAGAAGTGAAATGCTAGTTGAGGTAGTAGAAATGGGTAATTATGATCGGGATGCCAAGAGCTGTGTTTCGTGTGATAGAGATGGATGATATCAGCTAAATGAGGTCAGCACTTTTCTGTTCACTCAAATCCTGCTCTCTGGAACTCATATAGTTAACTGAGCTGATGATTAAATGATGAAAAACTTCTTTATCCAATGAATTACCTATGGTTGCAAATCTGCTCAGATTTCAAGTGGATACTGAACTTCCTCTTCAGTTTTTAAGCATAGCGTAATTGACTTGGCACTGTGGACTTTAAATTCTCTTCCACACCTTGTGGTGGGCTCCAGAACTGATATGCTCAACTGTGTTCTGGCTGCCAGCTACCTCCTAACCTCTCAAGGAAGGCAGGTCAGAACTGTCCATCTCTGTTCACCTTTAGTCACAGTCACAGAAACTTCAGCTGATAACACTTTGAGGAGTGGCTGCGAGTCATTTGGCATTGTGCTTAAAATAAAGCAGTGAGTGATGGTATAGACTAGGGCAGTGCTCCTAATTTTAGATAAGTTGAGAAATATGTAAAGTGTGTGGATGAGTGGGGCAGGTAGAGTGGAACTCGGACAAGTGGATGTATAGGAGTGCAGATGCCAAACAGTAATGTGAGACCAGCCTGACTAAGCTGGTGACTTGAGTGCTACAGACAGCTCTCCAGTGCTACTAATAAGGTCTGAGCACTTTCTGGTTCTCTGGAGTGTCTATACTGTGCTTTCCAGCACTATGAATAAGCTTTGAGTGCTTGCTAAAGCTATAGAGTTTAATGTGAACAGAAATCTGAATTGCTAGAGCTCATGACTAGTGGCGTGAGAAAGAAAATGAGGTGGTGTGGATTCAAAATGTGATAACATGACTTATCTGGGCACCTTCTAAGTTGTGCTGTGGGCCACTAGAGAGAGTGCTGCCCTGGCCAGTGTTGAGAGCTATCGAGACATTGGACTAAAATATAAACTAGTAAAACTGAACAGAGCATGCTACCCTATTGTGAGAATATGCCTAGAACTCAAACTGAGAAGTGAACTCTTTATTGTTTTTGTGCTATGTACACATATCATTATATAGTGGTAGTATATGTAACGTCTTCTAGTGTGGCAGAAGACATTTCTAATCCTTGTTCAGATTTTTCATCCTTTGAAGCAGGATCAAGATGTTTCCCACCTCCTCCTCATCATTGCTTGCAGTCAGAGAAACAGAAGGTATAGATCCTCAAGGGTGCGGTGGTCTGCTGCCCTGTGCATCTCTCACCTAAAGTGCATTCTTGTTTCTGTTTTGCCAAACTCATTCAGCTCTGCCTCTTCTCCTTTATTCTTATAATTGGTGATGCTCATAT